ATATTTCTGGCACCTAAATATTTGCCTGATTTAACTCCCCTCCTCCACACATTCATTTAAAAAGACCCACAAGCTTTTCTGTTTGCATATTGGAACAGAAGCACAAATCCCATTGGATATGGGGCTGCCTTGGCAACCGTGCTACAATTCCCTCTCCTGGCCAATCCAAAGGAAGCTGGCTGGCAGCTCTGATGCCAGGTCAGATGCCAAAGGCTGTGTTTGCCCCTTCTGCAGCGCAGGGTGGCTGATGCTCTTAGAAGTGTTCAAATCCCTGGACAAAGACATTTTGCCCTCTTCGATTCAGTACTCCCTGGGGCTGGAAGGGCTTGTTTCTCCCTGTATCCCTCTGTTCCTTCCAGATATCTTTCCTGTGCCACACTGGGCATATCTACACGTGCATTAATGTGCCGTAATTACTGCACATTAAGTTTAGTACCTGTACTCAATGTGCAGTAACCAGTGCTACTGCGCAGTAGTGTTGCTGCATGCCTTTTTAGTGACATTAAAGTGAAGTAGACTAATTCTACCGCGCATTAGCAAATTAGCATGGCTTTTGCTGTGATGCGCTAGTATGCAGTAGAATTAATTTATTGTGCATTTATTGTCTTGTGTAGACACACCCACTGTCTAGCAATCACCACAAAGCTCATGTCCTGTTTTTTTCAGAGCTAGCAAGCTTCAAGCTAGGCTCCTAAGAAACACCCTGACCAGGTCACAAGGCCACATATAAAGCAAGCTTCCCTATCCCCACAGCTAGGCCTGCTTACCTAAAAAGCCCCCCTGAGAGGTGAATTCAATCTCCACACTGGGTGCATCTACATATGCACTTTAATGCATAGTAGCCTATTCTACTGTGCATTAAACATCACTAAAAAGGCATTTACTTTTGCTACTGCACATTGGGCCAGCTCAATGCCCCTTAATGTAGTACATGTAGTAATGTGCAGTAGCAAATGTGCATTAATGAATGTGTAGACGCGCCCACTGTCTCCAAATCTTGGCCTCTCTGAGGAGAGCTTCAAGGAGTCTCATTTCCTGACGCAGTGAATTTTGGGATGACTGGAAAGACTTACCCAGCTCCCAGCTGTCAACCAGTGCCCACCTGGACTGCATTTGAACTGGCAACCTAGAGCCCAAAAGGCTCTTCAGCCTTTTACTGCTTCATCCGTCTTCCCCAAAACATCCAGTGTCCTTATAACTAATGCATCCAGGCAAATTTCAGCTTTGAAACACAGCACAGTCTCCACTCCCCCAGTTAACTGACTGGATGGAGTATGGGCAGCAGCACTGGGAATAACTCTTGACAGGGCACCCACGGACACTGGAATGACCAGAATGTTGCAAAATAGTGATGAACCCAGGGTAGTGACAGGAGGACTGCTAAATGTTCATGGGTACTGGAGAGGATGCTTATCGGGGCAACCGTTATCACAATTAGTCAAGGAGTAGTAGTATGTGGGGAATGTGGAGAGCCAGCAAGACACAAGCTTTGCTGCCTTGAGGAAAAGCTCATTATCTGGGCAGAGCTGGACTGGGCTTGAAGACAAGAATGCAGTAAGCAAGCAGTTCCTGTCTTCAAACTATGGCACTTGAGCATTTCAAGGAAGGGGTAGCAGCACCCGACACCTAAGTTAAATTGGACCTGTGTGGTGCTTGGTTCTATACAGACTCATAGTTTGGAACAATCCCTGCCCTAAAGGGCTTTTTACCTGGTCCAGAGTGAGGCAGCAGAGACTGTAAATGACTTATACAAGGTCACACAGCAGGGAAATGGCAGAGGCAGGAATAAGCCCGTCCCTTCTGATGCACAGGCCTATGCCCCTAACTACTGGACTATTCTGTTTCTTTGAGTAATGCACTCTTTGCCAAACAAACTTTCCCTAACTGTTCACCCACATACGTTGCTTTTTGGATTAACACCCACACCAAACAATCTGAGGACTTATCTTTGCCCTAAACAAACTCCAGCTGGGGAAGTGCAATGAATATGATTCAGAGTGTACCAGAGTCATTTTTTTACTATCTCAGGGTAAATGCCCCATGTATACATGCCACTCTGGTGTGAGATGGGGCTTGCTTCTGTGCCATAAATATATTTCCAGAGGTTACATCAGTGTAACTCTACTGATATCATTACATGGGTGCAAATATCTAGAACAGTGATTCTCAACCAGGGTGCCATAACATGCTGAGGTGTGTTGAGATCCTTTCAAACGTGCTGTGGGATGCCATACAATGTTAGCATTATTAGGTGTGCAAACTTGATTCAAAAAATCAACCCAAAGATTTTGAATAGGAATTTACAGTTTTAAATACATTCTGATCTGCTGTGGGCTTTCTGAGTGCTTTGTAACAGAAAAATTGATCTGTTATTTTCCATAGTCAAAAACCAAGTGAAAACTAAAAGCTGGCATTTTCCAAGGGGTACCTTGAGTCTAACAAGGGATGCATTAAGTTTAATGAGGGGCACACCTTGAGCATAAAAAGGTGGGGAACCACTGATCTAGAGAGAGACACCAAGGGTGTGTCTACATGAGATGCATCCCCATCTACATGTGCACAGCAATTACTGTGCGCTAGATTAGTCTAATGATCCATTTCCTAGTACCTGTAGATACAGGTACTAGGAATCGGTGCATTAAACCAATGCACCAAAGCTCACAAAGCAAACTGCTCCTGGTCAGCTTAGGTAGCAGGGGGCCAAAAGGGACAGGGAGAGCTGTCCCAGCTCTGTAGGCAGCTAGCTCCCAGCCACATGGAGATCGGTTCCAATCTCCACATGGCTGGGAGGCAGCTGCCTGGCAATGGAGACAGCGTTCCCCAACCCTGGGAAGATGAGGACCAGCCCTCATGCTTCCTGCTAGCCCAGGGCTGGCACCTGGGGGAACCTGGAGCTCCCCCTAGCTGCTGCAGTGGGGCAGAGCAGGGCAGAAGGAACCCTGAACTGAACTGCTCCCAGTGGGAGCAAATTTGCTCCCACTGGGCACATGTTCAGATGCATGTGGGAGTGCAGTTTAATGCACCTTAATTTTTTGTATAGAAAATTCAGGCACATTAATTGCATATGTAGATGCACCCAGAGAGTCTAGCTCATGACATGGTTTCAAACAGATACCAGATTCTCCACTTACATTCCTGAGTTGTGTAATACTGCAGTGCACTGTTCAACAGCTGTCATACTCCACCCCAGAAGTGACTACACTTCAGTAGAAGATGGTTTGTGTGATGCTTTGGGAACTGTGCACAGAAAACACTAAGGGACTATCCCTCATTGTTACAAGGATTAATAAGAATAAAACCCTGGGAAAAGATTAAGGCCCTGTCACTCAAGCATGTCTAGGGTAATCAGGATGACCTGGATTTCAGCTTATGAAGTGCTGAAAGGTGACTGTAAACCTGAATAAGGCCCTTCCCCCATTCTTAAAAAGGGGCTGACAGGGCTTTGCAGGAGACAGTGGGTAATTGTCTAACAGCCACTCTAGCCAGTTGGGAGTCAGGTTTTGAATTTCGGTAGGGCTTGAAAATAATCTTCTTAGCACATCAGTTCCCAACAGCTCTGTTAACTGGGCAAATCCATTACTCACAAAAGCAGGAATTGAACTGCACTCATACAAGCCAGGAAAGCACTAGTCAGTGGGGTGTGCCCAGCTCTGTCACAGCACCTCCATGCTGCTACTCTAAGCCTGGGACTCCCATGTATGGCTCTGCCCAGGCACTTCAGTGCCAATCTACACCCACTCTTCTGTTCAAGCTCTGGGCCTCACACAGAATCCAGATAACCCAATTTAATCTTGAGCTGGAATCCTGCTCCTTCAACCTGGGTCTGGCCCCTCTCATGGCTTTGCCAGTGCACCTCTATCCTCATCTGTGACTGCCTCCAGATCTGGCCTTCCCCACAAAGTGTCCCTTGAGTGCACAGAGGAGTAGTTAGCTGTGTTAGTTTGAAGTCAGGCAGAAACTTAAGTTTACTTCATCAGATGCTATCCTGGGAGTCAGGACACCTGGGTTCTAGTCTTTGCTCTTTCTACAGATCCCAATGTAATCTTGGAGCCACATGCTTCTCCACTGTGGCCTTGACTTCTGCTCTGATTGAGTTCTACCATGTTTAAGCTCTGCATTCTGGTGCACGGCCCTGGCATGAACTAGAATAGCTTCAAGGCTGCTGTAATTTACCTGCAGATGCCACAGGCAGCTCAAGGGGCAATGCATGAGAAAAGATGTGCAGGAGCACATCAGTACTTTGCTCATGTCCCCAGCATATGCCCAATACTGGGGATGATATAAAACTGGTACAGACACCACCTGGGGAAGCCTCTACCCTAGAATGATTCCCAAGTAGAGAGTTCTGCTGCCTTTAAATCCTGCAGAAGAGACCCAAGGACAATAAAAGAATCAGACACTTTGAGCCTCTGTTTCCCCTGAAATGGGGTAATACCATAATTACCCATGCTTCCCCTGCTGGGGGAGCTTGAGGCTTAATTAATATTTATTAGGTGTTTTGCTCTCCCTGGATGGAAGGGAGCAGACAGGGGCAAAACATTATTAAATAGGACTCTTGCGTTAAGACCCTGGTCTCAGCTCATCCCTTCCCATCCCAAAATGGAGGTACCTACCATCCACCTGCCCAAGCTGTGTATAGCATGGCAGAAGAAATGGCAAAAGCATGGATACAGATTTATTCTACAGGAGCCTTAAACATGAACATCTGCTGCCAAACAGGCTGGCACATGCAGCTCAACCACTGGGGACTTTAGCTCAGTGATTATGTCGTCAACGCCAACAGAAAGCAAGACAGCTGCAGTGTGAAATTCCCAAGGTGGGGGCAGGGGTAGGGACTAAGGGAAGGAAAAGAAGGAATATGAGAAATAAGGAAAGAAAATACATTGGCAAAGCCTCTTTTCTGCTTCAGTGCCTGATGCTTCCCTCTACCCTGAGAGAGTGGAGTTTGTGCAGATTCCCTGCCCCCCAGCCACTCCCAGCATCTCCTGTAGATCTGGTACCTTCTCAGCAGTGACGGGCACAGAAGAGGGGGTGAGGCTGGTGGGAGATTCTGGCCGCTTTTTGTGCTTCTGTTTAGGTCTTTCCTTGTCCTTCCGACTCTGCAAAGGAAACCAGAAAGTGTTAGAAGGACAAGTTTTCTGCCAGTGAGAGTAGAGGTTGAGAAAGAAAAAAGAGGAGGGTGTGTGGGGGTGGATTTGCAACCCTACATTCATATTCCCCTTTCCTCTTCCACCCATCCACATGGGCCTAGCCTCCCCCAACAACTTCTGGCTGGGAGTGCCCCACTATCCCTACCCCAGCTGCAGTCCACATCTGGTGTGCAGAATTATCAACAGAAGCCCCCGAATCAGTTTCTGGTAAGATGATACAGGGAAGGATTTAACAAGCCCTGGTTGATTTCAAGAAACATGCGCCTTCCTCCTTTTCCCCCAAAGGGGCTCTTTGCCCCCATGCCCCAGTCCGCTCCCCTCATCAAACATCTCTCAGACTCACCCTGTGTTACAGTTAGTGTGAGAGTCCATAAAACCATTCTTAGCACATGCTGCACATGCACAGAGATCAACAACTCAGCACTTTAGCCAGGCAGTAAAGTTTGAACCTGGATCTCAAGATCCCTACAACATCCACTAGGGCAGGGGTGGGCAAAATGTGGCCCGGGGGCCAGATGCTGCCCACCAGGCCATTCTATCCAGCCTGCGGGGCCCCTAAAAAATTTAGAAAATTAATATTTATCTGCTCCTGGTGGCCTGTCATGCGGCCCTCAGTGGCTTGCCAAAACTCAGTAAGGGCCCTCTGCCTGAAATAATTGCCCACTCCTGCACTAGGGGGAAAGAGTAGGGCCATCTCTGTCAACAAAAGTCAGACTATTTAGGGACAAAATCTATCCCTGTTTTCATCCTCTAAAGCCCCAGTGAAGCCAACAGGACTGACAGTTTGCGAACCAATGAGGAACAAGGACCTAAGAGGTGCTGACACTTTTCAGTTATCACTGACTTCAACAGGATCTACTCATCATAGGTCCTGCCCTGATAAGGTGCAGAATGCTCTTGGCTCCTGCTGACTGTACCCTACAGAAGGCATTCAGCACCATGAAGAATTAGGCCAGACCTTATTCCAGGGAACTCCATGGGACTTTTGCCATTGATTTGAGGGTTCTTTATTTGGCAAAGTGTGAGAGAGAATAAAAAATACAGACCCGCTACACAGAGGAAACCAGTTCTGTTGAATTTGTACAAGGAGCTGCAACTCTTTGTTATCAATACCTTCTAGTATAATAACCAAGATCAGGCTTGGTTTGCGGAAGACACTGTGCACAGTAAGAGACATTTGCAACCCCTAAGGCTAAGTACAGATAGTCAAAAAGCCTGAGGCTGAATCTATTCAATCTTTGCAAGTTAGTTAAAACTGCATAGACTGAATAGCTAAGCAAGTGAACAGACATTCACTTTTGATTCCAAAACTGCAGCCACATGCCTGCAGTGGTGCAGGCCAGAAGTATATCCAATTCTGAGCTCCACAATTTAAAAAGGATGTGGAGAAGCTTGAGAGAGTCCAGAGGAGAGCCACGCACATGATCAGAGGGCCTGAAAACAGCACTTATGATGAGAGGCTAAGAGCTAAGGGACTCTTCAGCCTGGAAAAGCGCAGGCTTAGGGGGGACCTGGTGGCTGCCTATAAGTATATAAGGGGTGTACATCAGGATCTGGGGGAACACCTGTTCACCAGAGCACCCCAGGGAATGACAAGGTCAAATGGTCACAAACTTCTCCAAAACCGTTTCAGGCTGGACATAAGGAAGAACTTCTTTACAGTTCGAGCCCCCAATACCGGGAATAGACTGCTGCCAAAGGTGGTGCACGCACCTACTCTGGATTCCTTCAAGAGTCAATTGGACATTTATCTTGCTGGGATCCTGTGACCCCAGCTGACTTCCTGCCCCTGGGTTGGGGGGCTGGACTCAATGATCTGCCGAGGTCCCTTCCAGCCCTAATGTCTATGAAATCTATGAAGCTGGGGGGTGCTAGAGTACACCTCCATGCTCAGCTGGAGCAGACAGCTTGGGGCCAAAGCTAACCCAACCACCTTGCTAGGCGAGGTTTGCGAGGAAGGTGCAAAGGATCTTGGGATGCTGAGGGACTGTGAGTTAACTTGAGTCTGGAGAGGATCTGTGACAATAAACCAATTTAGCCTAAAGTCTGATACTACATCCATCCAGGTTTATCTTAAACTGGTTCCAGCCATTTTGAAAACAGTTTATGTGCACTGAAATTCTGTTGTGTTACAGATTTGAACCAGTTTCCAATCACTTCTCCCAGTTTATGTGCAATGTCTGTCCCTAGCCAAAGAGATTGCAGTCTAAAGAGATGAAACTTAGGGTGAAGCTGCACATTACACTTAGATCATACTAAACCTGTGGAATGTTAAGTGGTGTAAAGTTCAAACCTGCTGTGAGCAGTCACATGTCAATATGGTTTCTTGTTTCCACAGCTCTGACTTGCCACTAGAGGGCTGGTGAGCAGGGGTGTATCTAGGAGCCAGGACACCTGGTCTCTACCCCTGCTCTGGGGGTGTGGGGAGCCTGGAGGCTGTGCATCCTGAGATGCCAGAGGAATGCAAATTGCTCATTTTTCTCAATGGAGCAGACTGAACATCCCCTAACATGAGCTAGGCACCATGACTCAGAGTTAACCCTTGTCTGAAATGGTGTAACTTTGAGACACTCAGAGGGCACTTAGCATGATTTAATGAGCTTTAATGTGGGGACACTTGAGTTTTAAGTGCTCTTAGTATGGCCTAAGTGTAACGAGTAACTTCAACATAACACAGTTGAAAAGGAAAAAAGCCTCAGAGAGAGGGGCAGCAAGCTGCCAGTAGACAGGTAGTAGAGGCAGGAGGAGAACCCAGGCCTTTTGACTCCTATTCATGACCTTATACACTAAACACATGGACCCCTTCTATAAAATGTGGGCAGTAATAGTCACGCTGCAGAAGTTATGTGATTAACTGACATTTATAAAAAGGCCTGGGAGGATTTGATATTTTAAAGTCTTGACTGTATTTCAACAAATAACAATTGAGACGTATTTCTAATACATTTCTCATTGGTCTTTTTTCTGCCCTTCAAGGGTTTTAGAAGAAAAACCACCTTCAAATACTAACTGTAATTTATTCAGAATGGAACAAGCCTGATTCTTTTCTCATGGAGCTATTTACATTTGTGCAAGCATGGGGAGAAAGGATATGACAGATCACCAATCAGAATTCCCCACTTCTGTTCAGCAAGAGCAGCATTTTACACCTGTGTTTTCTAGGTAAAAATGATGGTACAAAATCTCTCTTGAGGATTTCCAGCTGTAGAAGAAGCTTTCATGGGGAAAAAAACAGGCAAATACAGAGCCTCAATGAAGGAAACACTCTTTGAAAAAGTCTTTCCCTCATAGCAACACTGACACCTCCCTTTTCACCCCCAACAATATCCCCCTTCCCTCCAAATATCTGGAAGCAAATCAACCAGCCCCCACAAAAATCCTACCCCAACAAGAGATTTGATGCTGAGAGGGGGAAAGTGACAGGCACCCTATGAAGTCCATTCTGGACTGTGCTATTGCTATGGTTTGACATGGCAGGTTTTTACATATTACAACGATGGACAGCTAAGACAGAGAATAGAGATAGACACAAGGTAGTGAAAATTCAGGGGCTGTGACTCCAGGAGTCCAAATTTATAGCAGATGATGAAACGAGATCATCCTATCTGATGAGGACATTTCATCATAATTAGAGTTACTTGAAGAAATTTTAGTGGAATCCTGTTCTGCTGGAATATGCTGTTCCACTGAAATGAGAACACTTTGTGGAACTGGGTTGACTATGCTGGAATTTTGTATTGGAAGGAAAGAGGGGAAGAAGATATTCTGACTATGTCAAAATGTTCTATGTCGACACAGCAGGCATGAAGTGGTTTGAGTTCTCAGGTGGAAAGGACTTTTTGTTCCAAAATATTTATTTTGCAACAGATACCATAGAGCATAATGCAAAATAAAAAAATCACAAGTCAAAACAAAAATGTTCTGATTGACTCAATACATTTTTTTTAATTTGCCTTTGCAGGTATTTTCAAAATGGTTTAGTTTTCATACTAATTTACAATGACACCGAACTGCAAAATCCCCAAATTATCCATAAAACAGAACTTATGTCCACTTCACAACTTTTATAATAATATTTTATGACTGAGTGCCCCAGGTAAAACTGAGAGTTGAAAAGGTAGCTGGTTATCTACAACTAGCAACACAATGGCATATTATGTTGTTGTCTTTTCAGCTCTGTAATTTATTACAGAATTCATTAGAACTCATTGTCACAGGGAATTGGTGAGGCTGAGGATTTAGCAAGACTCAAAGGACTGGACACTCATTCATGTAACAAGATCTTCTAGTGTTACAAGAGTTAATGCTAATAAATACTTTGGAAGGCATATTAAACACTGTGCTTCAGAGTTTAAGTCGATCTCTATGTATTAGAGAGCAGCATGAAACCTGATGTGCAGCTAAGGTCAGCTTGTATTTGCCAGATATGGAATTATTATGCCTTTCTCTGTTTCTGGCCTTTGTCAGAGACATGAAACTGGGCTAGATGGACCCTGGGCCTAACTCAATCTCCTGTCTTCCTTCCCACAAGATTTATTGTCTTCAGCCGTGTCCCTGTGATACAGAAAAATCTAGAATTTCCCACATTTAAGGCTAGATCCTGCATGAGTTTCATGTGATTAGGCTCCTATACTGTGCAAATCTCAATGGAGGGGTAGGGCTTTCGTCAAAGATGACACAAGAGGCAAGCTGAGAGTCTGGAATGGAAGACCCTTCTGTGTTTGTACAAGGCCTGTCAGAACGTGACTGCTCCATTGGCAGGGCCCCTAGGAGTGACGGTAACACAAATAAAATATGACAACCATTGAAAGTATAGTTGTTATTATTACAACAGCAACATTTACACTGGGAAAAAAGCATGTCCTTTTTAGTAATATTAAATATCATGTACAATTATCCAAAAGAACTCACTGTTGCGATACACGGAAGCAAACAATTTAGTGAGAAAA